CCCCTGCCATTCCTTTTACACCAACTAATTATCATACAAGTACTTGTTTGAAAGAAACTATATTTTTCTCTAATCAAAACATTCAAGTTTCTACTTCATTAAAATGTTTTCTTATTATTTTCAAACTATACAATTAACATAAGGATACATTAACAAATCATGAAAATAAAACCTTCAATACAATAGTTGCATGGATTTTAAATGAACTTCTTCTCGAGAAGGTGAACCTGCTCATAATTATTTATTTAAATTTGCGGAAGTACTTGAGGCTAGTCTCATATGTGACTCTTTATGGTTGAGTCCCATCTTTGGGGATAATCTCATTTATTTTTCTGTAATTTATTGTTCTGTTACCTTAAATTTTTTAACAAAAAAGTCTCTCGTATCTTTTGGTGTTCTAGGCCCTGAAGAACTGCAATTGGAAATTGAGAAAGTCATATGCAGTAACAGAGAATCTGCCACAGCATCCTTGGATATGAAGATGAAAAATAAGCTGACCAATAAAGGTTCTCAAATAAGCAAAAAATTGCTTACAAAAGGATTGTTAAAGCCTTTTCCAAAGAACTGCATTTCTGTTATGACAACAACTGGAGCCAAGGGTAGTACGGTGAGTGCGCATTGTATTATACATATTAGAAATCTAATTGTTGTGGTGGTCTTTTATGCCAAAAGCTGGACTAGAAGGGTATAGTTAATAATAAGTTTTAAGTACAAGACCATCTGCCTGCTGGTAATTTCCTGTAAAATAAAATTACACCACTGAGCTGAATAAGGCACAGCATATACAATCACATTCACAACTGTTCTTTTATAATTTATTTGTATTCATCCACGAGAATTTATGGTTTATACTTTTTCTCACCCTTAAACTATTAATTCTTTTATACTAAAAAAATTGAGGAAAAAATGACTTGAGATGTTTGAAGCTTATGCTCCAATTTTTATTTTTTTGCTTGATTTCGAGAAATCTAATATTTATGCATGGTGTTGTGACATTGACATTTAGATAGTGTTGTAATGATAAAAGATAGAGGGAGTATATATGTAATCGGTTTGTCAAACCAATCAGTTTGTGACCTGCAATGGTCTTTGATTGTTGATCTTTATTATTTACTGATCAACATTTTTAGCTAGATTTAGGAAATGAACTTATGAGCTATCTTTTATTTATCGTTTATGACTCCATATTTTTCATGATCTTTTGATGGTAAATCACCTATAATTGTCTATGATTTGAATAGGTCAATTTCCAACAAATATCTTCCTATCTGGGCCAACAAGAGTTGGAAGGTAAAAGAGTACCCCGAATGGTTTCAGGGAAAACCTTGCCCTCCTTTTCGCCATGGGATTTCACTTCTAGAGCTGGTGGCTTTATCACTGATCGCTTTCTCTCTGGTCTTCGACCTCAAGAGTATTACTTCCATTGCATGGCTGGTCGTGAAGGGTAAATCTGGCATTGTAACTTTTTTTTTTTGGTTTTCTGCCCATGAATGATAACTGTTTAAGTTGCTTCTACAATGAGCTATGATTATTATTTTTGTGCTTAATCGTGCTCATGGACCCCCCACCCAACCAATGTACACACTTAAGGTTGGGGAACAAATGCTGGCTTCCCTGTAATCTAGTGACCAGCTTGGCCTTCCCCTGTAATATATTACAAAGATCTAATCATCCAAAGCAAGAGATTCAAAATGAATCCAAACATGGGTATACTATGAAAAAAAGTAACTACGGCTGATCAAGTTCCGTTTCCAAAACATGAAGTTTCGTTTCCAAAACATGAAGTGCCAAATTGTTACTATCACAAACTCCCTGATTTCGAACCAAGGGGATTTGTCCCATGTATTTCTTTCTTAGAGACCAAATTCCTTTCGGGTTAAGACAAGACAAGAAGTTCTGGCTGAAGTAAATCCATTTGAATGTCAGGCCCTTTGATTTTCTTCAAGAAGCACGTTAGAATCATCTGTAGAGTTTATTAAAGTTACTGATTTACTGCTGGTTCAGTTGAGTTACCCGTTTTGCCACTTGAAGAATGTGCCAGAAAATCTTCTTTTTCATGTATTACGCCATAAACTTCTTTTCTCTACCTAATATAATCACTTTAATGCATCGTAATGTGGTAACTTCATTATAGCTCCTTATTGCCTGAAAATAGATTTAACATGGACTGGTGTATTAAATTGGGTTTCAAGCCTTTTTATGAAAAATATGTTCATGACATCCTCCTCTCCTTCTGCATCGCTATACTTCATTAGGCATCTGTGATCTCTGTTCACACAGCACACCACGTTTCTTCTATTTCATAGGGTGAAGTACACGGGTTGCTGTAAACTTTGAAGTTTTAGTCCGTCATATAAATGTTGGAGATTCTCAATGCCATCTTATAGTGTGGATTTTTAAAACCAGAGATTATTGTTTTCACCGTAGCCTCCTGGTTATGATTTTTCTAACTGTTAGTTTTTCTTGTACAGGTTGGTCGATACTGCAGTAAAAACATCTCGTAGTGGATATCTCCAACGGTGCCTCATAAAAAATCTTGAGAGTCTAAAAGTTAGTTATGATTATACCGTTCGTGATGCAGATGGTTCAATAATTCAGTTTTATTATGGAGAAGACGGTGTTGATGTGCACCGCACAAGCTTTCTCAAAAATTTCAAGGCTCTAGCAGATGTAAGGACCTAGATTCTCCATCTAGTCTAATTATAAGATAGTCTATTTTTTTATCATATGCATAAAAGTCATCTTCTCTTCAATGTTGATCAGAATCAAGAAACTATTTGCCGAAAATTTCAAAACAAGCGTGAGTACAATACTTATATTGAAAAGTTGCCAGATGGGCTTGAAAAGGAAGCAAGACACTTTATTCGCGAGGCAATAAAAGAGACATCAGAAGTACAAAAAACGACCCAAAAGGAGCACCTATCTAAAGGACGCAAGGCAAAAAAGAAGGAAAACCAATTAGAACAGAAGGCAACAGAAAAGGAGCAAAAGGAGTTTTTAGAATTGGTTGAACAAAAATATCTATCAAGTCTAGCACAAGCAGGAGAACCAGTTGGTGTCATTGCTGCTCAATCCATTGGTGAACCGTCAACACAGATGACGTAAGTTCATGTCTCACTTCTCTGTTCTCACAATAAACACTTGCCGTTTTCAAAAAATAAAAGTAAAAATAAGCACTTGCCATTATTCATTCTGGTATTTTTTTTTTTGGAATACATATCCATCAAAAGGTTTGCATATTTGAGTTTATTTGATCCGTCTTATTGTTTCTCTATAATTCGTGTTCAAATATTGCATTTCGTTAATAATGTAGTATATGGAGAATTTATAATGTTGTAGCTTACTTAAAAAAAAAAACAAAAAGAAAAAGATTTTACCCATAAAGAAAAGGCAGGGGGAGAAAAAGGACCAATTGGCTAAATATAGCATGCCAAATGTTATTCCTTCAAGTAACGCGTGTGCATTCAAGAGGTTGTCATGGATGCTAAATTGATACTGTATGCAAATCTCTTATTGAAGATAACACCCCAGTGAAGCACTATCCCTTTTTTGGTTATGGAGTACTTTGTTTTTCAAGGTTATATTTTATAATGTTCATATCTTTACGGTTAACAATAAATTTTCTCCTTCATTTACACTACACTGTAACATTAAAACAGCCATTTCTCATTAGATGCTTGTATTTTTTTTTTCCAGACTCAACACTTTCCATCTTGCTGGCCGTGGGGAAATGAATGTTACCCTTGGTATTCCTCGTCTGCAGGAGATTTTGATGACTGCATCAGACACTATCAAGACTCCAATTTTGACATGCCCATTCATGCAATATAGATCTAAGTGAGTTCTATTATAGTTTCATCTTGGCATGATAGGGTTTCCTCAACAGTATTAGGAGCATGTTTGACTAAGCTTAAACAAAGTTAAAGTACCTGTTAAGTTTTCTCCAAACATCTATTAATTATGTATTTATTTTCTAACTTTAAGTAAAAAAAGTTACTACTGTCATAAATAACTCACTTCTAACTTTGACTAATTAAAAAGATATTTATTTTAAAATTTGTGTATTTACTTGTAAGTAAACATGCTCTGATTTGCTGGTTTTTCAGTTCCATGCTTCCCATGCCAATTTTTGCTCTGTGTGTGAGTAGGTGTTAGGGTTGGCTTGTTTGTATTCCTTCCACCACGAAAAGGTGTTTGGTTTGACTTGGCACTGCAATTAAGAAAACACTGTAGACACTGCTTTCCCCACCAAAGTTAATAGCAAATAAAGTACTCTTTGGTTCTTTAAAATTATATTTCAGTAAAGTAGTTTCAATGTCATTGGTATTAGTTGAGGCTTACACTGGGATCTTGAAACCTGAATTTTTTATATGGGACTCGTATATTTTGAAAATGTAGAAACCCCAAAATAAAATAATATTTTGACTAGGTTGAGTGTTTTTGAGTGCTTGTAAGAATAAATTCATCACTTTTGTCTATAATTACAGGCCTGATGTTATGTCTCTCGTCGCAAATGTGAAGAAAGTATGTATAGCGGATTTGGCTGAGAGCATGGAAGTAGAACTCTCAATTAATGACCAGTCTAGAATCTACAAGCTGAAAATGGAACTGAAAGCAACCGAATTTGTGTCACTAGAAGACCTACACGCAACTCTTAGATCCACGTTCTTAAGGGAATTGGAGGATGCAATAGAAAATCATGTGATGTTTCTATCCAGAATTAGTGGCATTAAAAATTTCACTTTGAGTTCACCCTCAGAGACGTTAATCGAAGCTGACGATAATTCTACAGTTACATCACCAGAAGAGGATATTGATGATGATATGGATGCTGATGGCGATGAAAGGGGAGAGGATCTAGGTTCAGATGTGCAAAAGAGAAAACAACAATCTATGGATGAGATGGATTATGATGATGGCTCTGACGATGAACCTGATGAAGGTGAGTTATCTTCCGAACTTGGAAAAGTACAAACCGATCAAAATCATCTCGAGGAGGTTGAGAATAGGAAGGATGTGGAAAATGACTCAGATGACGATGATGAAGCTTATAATATGCAAAACGATCTTGAAATGAAGTCAAAGTCTAAATCAAGTCGGACGGCAGTCAAATCCATGGCCAAAAATAAAACTTCAGAAGAATTTTTGGACAAGAAACCGCGTAGGGCAATCTACATTTCAGTTAATGGATTACATTTTGAAGTCCACTTTAAAATTGAACCTCATTTGTTGCTTGCTCAGGTATATCTCGACCCTATCTCTATCCAGTACATTTAGTGAATATTTGGTACATAGGACTGCTGCATAGGACTGGACAGCATAATAAACAAGATTTTAGCTTTTTTTCTTCTTTAATATATGGCCAGTACTATTGAATCCTCGTTGCCAAACGTGCCAGTAGCTAATATGCTATTCTTAAAACTAATTTACAGATTGCTCAGAAGACTGCAAAGAAAGTATATATCAAGAGCTCCGGCAAGATCAGTCATTGTAAAATGGTAAAATATGATGCAGATGAAAAAACAGTTATTTGGGATGATGATAAAAAACCAAAGTCTACTGCCAAAGATTTGCAGACGGGCAATGAAGACCTTGCTTACTGGGCAATGAAGGCATCAGGAGTAGATTTCAAGTCTTTCTGGGAGATGCAAGACGACCTCAATTTGAGTCGTTTATATTCCAACAATATTGATGCTATGTTGAAGATGTATGGGGTAGAAGCTGCTCGAGCAACTATCATTAGAGAGGTGAAGCAAGTTTTTGATATTTATGGAGTGAAGATTGACTATCGGCATTTGAGTTTAATTGCGGATTACATGACGCATACGGGAGGTTACAGACCAATGACCAGACATGGAAGCATTGCTGAGTCATTGTCACCGTTTATTAAGATGTCGTTCGAAACAGCCTCAAAGTTCATTGTAGAAGCAGCTTCTCATGGGATGACCGACAACTTGGAGACACCGTCTTCTAGGATTTGCCTTGGCTTGCCTGTAAAGATGGGTACCGGCTGTTTTGACTTGATGCAGAAATTGGAAGTCTGATATACAGAAATCTAAAATTTTGATGCTATCATTTACTACTGTTCGTGTTTGATATTTATATTCTACTTTTATCTTGTCAAAGTGTAAAAACTAAAGTGGAGAGGTTAGAGGGCGTTTGGTTTGTTGTTTTTGTAAAATTCCGATATTTTGCAGGGTTATGATGTGATATATAGCAATTTAAGAATTTTTTGGATCTATTAGCATAATTTTAGAAAGTACAAGGATCTAAGTGAAAATCAGAAAAAATATCTCGTTGATGGATGGATAGGATTTATTATTTGTGAAAAGTTGAGTTTTGTGTAATTTAGCGATTTTTGGAAAGTTTGAGGACTAAAGAGAGTATTAATAAAGTTTTAAGAATCGTGACTTTAAAGTTGAGTGTGTTGCGGTGATTTCTCGCAACGAGAATAGTGAATTTTACGAGCTTAAAATCAAGATTTTGCCTCAAAAAATTTAAATAGTGAAAAAACATTTTTAGGGAGAATGTAACAAGTTAAGATTATTTACTGATGAGCAGGGTAAGGATTATAATTTGGAGAATTCTAATACTATTGAGATGTTGATGAATCAAAGTGAAAATGAGTATTAAATTTCTTATTTTTATTTATTTGGTCCTTTTTCATCATAATCTTCAATATTGATCTCGAAACTTTCCACGTTGGCCCTCGAGCTTCAATAGTCTTCTGAAATTGGTCCTTTACACATTTTAAAAATGTGCAATTTTGTTGAATTTCACTCTTGAAACTTGAAACTTTCCTCCAATTCCTCTCTTATTTCTTCTTATTATGTTCGTGCAATTCAGTTAGCCTTAAATTGCTCTGATTTAACTCTAATTAGGCTAAAAAATTGCCATTATTGCTCTAAATGCCTTAAAAGTCTGGATTTTACTACAATAACATTATTTACACTAAATTAAGTAGAAATTCACTCAAATTTACAAATACGATTCAAGTTTATAAGCACAAATAAGCATTTCCTTCAATGTTAGAGGAAGATATGCAGCTAGAAGATGATTTTTTTGAGTGATAATACGACACCTAAGGAACGTCCACTTAAGGAATCCAAGATCAGTAAAATTGAAAAACTTGAGGCATGTATGATGCAGTTACAATTTATATGATGATCGAGGACACTGAATTTAAGGTGATATACTTGAAAGAAAAGTTTGCATGCAAACAAGGAAAATAATCGAATCAATCAGGCAATAGTGAAGCCAATGGTCTGGATCCTTATAATTAAAATATGATGTTTCTGAACATATTAAACAAAATGGATGATGTATCCAATAAGGTTTATTTCCTCGTGTTTATCAAGTCAATAAATTATTTGTTTGTATTTCAACTTTGTAGCAGATTTTTTTTTTTTAGAATTCATCAACTTAAAATGTATATATTATTTGATACAATATTAGCATAAGTTATTCAATTTTATCGAATAATCAAGTTCAATGAATAAAATGTCCTAAATTTTTTTTCTAACAATTTCAAAAGAAACATATTTTTTCAGTTTTCTATCTTGGAGAGATAAATTTTTGGAATGACAAATTAAACGCATTTTCTGTAATTTTAAAATAGTCATTCCAGATAAAAAAAAAAAACTAAAAATGGATTAAAAATTTAAAATTGAAAAACTGAAACACAAATCAAATAGTCTTATTTTCTGTCTATGGGTATTGATTTTCTAACAAAAGGAAAAATGATGAATGAATGAATGAATTGTTTTGCCATATAGATTATTGTGTTATAAAACAAAGGGATAACAAGAATGGCAGGGAATAGTGAGTTAAATTTCTTGTATGTAATTTTATTGTAACAATGACATCTAAATATGGGGCTTCAATAGTAATTGCAAGTTGAATAGAATACACCCTGTTAGATAACACCAACTAATCATTCATTGCAATTTATTTTTTTACAACACTCCTCCTTAAACGATGATTTCAACAATAATTGTCTACTTAAAAAATCTTGTCGACACAAACTCAGTGGGAAAACAAAGGAAAAAAGTACAATTAATTGTAAAAAGTTTGGAGTAATCAAATGATGCTTCATTAAAAAAACTGTCTAGTAAATTCAATGGAATAAATTCAAGGAAAAAAAAAAGCGCAACTACTTTCCGCATTTCAATTGATGAAATTTTTTGTATGGAAACATCCATGTCTTGCGTGTCAACGTCTTCAGTGCTACCATCTTCATACAAGATATTTATCCATTCCTCTCTAGTTGATTTTTTTCAGCTCAATGATATTATGCAATTAGGGGTGAACATTTTAACAGGAACCCAACCTCTCAAATTTGAATCGAAGATTTCAGTCCGATTAAAAAAAGAATCAAAACTGATAACAGATTGGGTCCTTTAGGTTCTTGATGCGTCATTTTTTCTTTTTTTTTTTTTTTTTTAACAATTTATTCAACTTGACCCAATAACTTGGCCAATAAGTAGTAAGTTTGCAAGACCAAAGTGCTAAGTACTCAAATGAATCTGACTTATTCATTTAAAAAATTGAATCATATCAATCTCGTTCGAGCCACTGCTGACTGCACTTTATGGACTCTCACATCTTACAAATGCTTTATGAGGCATCGCATGTGGAGTCAGAGATGAAATTTAATGCTATTATATTAGATATTGGATATTACTTGTTGGCATATTTGTAGTGGATTAATAAAATGTTGAAATATGTATTTCGTGGTGTACTATTTTCTTGTATTTTTATTAGATATTGGGAAGATAACTAGTATTTCCATATCACAATTTTGTTGAAAATGTTATGGATAGAATCGAACCTGAATCGTGACCAATAGTTCGCTTGGGTTCTAGTAATTATGTAGACCTGAAAAATTCTATTTACTAAATATTTGAAGTATAATGGGTAGTTCTGAATGTTGAAATACCCAAATTGATCCACCAGATGTCCATGCCTAGATGCAATTACATTAAAAAAGATCTTATCGTTCACTTCAAGATTCTCATATACAAGTAGTAATACGAGAGTATAATCATGGAATTATGCTGATTGTAAATGTCTTGTAGGTTTTGGACCCATAACTATAACATTTTTAACCATAATTATTAGACGCATATCAAGTTTCATGCATTGCTAGATCAATAAGATTTCAATTTATGATTGTGTCTGCAGCAAGAGAATTATTTATTTATGTAAGTATTTGAGTCATTATCATTTTATTTTCGCACAAGCACTATTGATTTAAATCTCTAGGTGTCCATACCTCATGTCCAAAAACTTGAGCTCGTGTTCGAATATTTGAGCAAATAATCTAGTAAACACCAGGTTACGGGTGTACAATAAACACACATGTAACCATCTAGTGGATCCATCTATTAATATTTCTGGAAAGTCTAAACGGAGGGTGAGCTGATCCACAAAGTTCACCCTTGAATTTATTCTACAAATGCCGAGTATTCAATCCCAACTTTAACTAGTGCTCATCTAATATCCAATTTTTTTTGTGAGAACAATAACAAATGAGAATTCAATACATTGAAGATCCTTCTAGTTCTTTAGCATATGTACACACGAACTATCATAAACTTCAATTGTACTAATATCGACATGGTACCAATCATGGCACACATTTTAGAAACTTAGTAAGTTCTTTAATTTATTGAAGAACAAATTACTATCAATAGTAAAGTTTGTAGCTCCATATCATACACTATTAGCTCTTCTGGAGCCTTAGAATAAGATTGCAGAATCTCAAATTTTACTAACATAATTTTTTATCATTATTTCGAATCTCCTGCACGATTTCATGATAAATTCAACTGGATGGTCGATCTCTAGGAATCTCCAATAATAATTCCTAATCAAGGCTCCAATCATCTCGGAATTTCAACAATAATCTAGACAAAGGTTGAGGACAAAATGTACAATTTACTCATAATTTAGCTCCTGTTTTAGCCCTTTTCTTGCTAAGAATGCATTTTGAAATAGTAGATTGATAAAGAATGTGTGTTTAAAAAAATAAGAAAAACTTTGGACTTGCATGTAATACTATTTTATTGAAGAATGTGTGGTTGAAAAGAATAGATAAAAATATATTTTTAAAATAATGGGAATCAAAGAAGGGCTTAATATCTAATTCTCTACCCCTAACTTTATGGACCACCACCACCTCCCATGATTTGCACAACTGCTAATCGCAAACATCGTTGATGATCTCACACTGGCAATCTAACGCTGTCGTGATCATTACCACCTTTGTTTCTCTTATGTTAACATAATCTAAATGGTTAACTGAGACTTTAAAAACAACAACACAATATGCCAAAAAACTATTTGTCATGATACTATAAAATGCAAAAAACTTGATATATAGTATGTATTGCACACCATGACCATGCATTTTGGTCTGAAACATTTCCATGTCTAACCAATTAGTCCCAAATTAAACCATATGATTTTAATAGTTTGATGATATCAGAATCAAATACCAAAGACAAAGTTATGTCCATACACTAATATTAGGACAAATATTAAATTTGAATGAGAAGCAAATAAATTCAGCAACTTATTTTACAACAAAAACGACATGTTCATTAATTGCAACAAATATGTTATAAGTGTGTTAAAATAATCAATAGATGGTCATTATGTTGAACTCTTCCTTATATACTCCATCTCGGGAGTCAAACCCCACATTTAACTTGTATTTATTTTTTCCAATTTATCTGTATGCCGCATTAAATCCCAACAAATATTGAATATTCATCAGACCCCATGAAAGTACACCAAACCAATTTGATGATCATAGCTATTTCTCACAGTGTTTCTTGAGTATAGCATCTATAGAATTATTTATGTACTTTACCAGAATTCAGTTAAAAGTTGTTGAGCTGAGCTGTCAAATGCATGTGTATATATATTTGCTGTAATCTCTATTTTGGATATAGTGAAGAAATACATTTCCTATTTTTCCCTCTCTACCTGTGAGAATATTCCCTTCATCATTGCATAAGTTTCACATGGTATCAGAGCC